TGGGTGTTGTTAGCTAATACATTTATCCATTCATTTAAATTTTCTTTCTAAAATATTTATTATACACCTGCTATTCTGCTGGGGCAAAATGCTAAACCAGATGGGCTTTAGAGTCAAGAGGTATGACCTGGGATACATGGGCACACTCTACATGCACCAACATGTTGAATACTTTGGTGACTCAGCAGTGCAAATGTCCTACATTTTCTTTGATTAGCTTTTCATAAAGTTAAATAAATTAGAGAAGAGGGGGAAATCATCTGCCATTTGACAGTGGATGTTCCAACATCAGTGTCACTCTCACTAAGGAAAAACACCTTGTCTTTGTTTTTAGACCCCTTCATGCTGTGGCAGACTGTAATTCAAAATGAGGTAACAAATAGGGTGAAGTCTAGTGATAGACTATGAATGAGTCTATTCTAATCCAGTTTCTTGCTTTTCTATCTGTATTGGTGGTGGGGTAAGAAAAATAATTTTAAAGAATTATCATGTATTCAAAATAAACCCATCTGATTTTGTAAATAATTTAGGTTTTGAAAAACAAAGGGTCAGAAACAGCTGGAGGATTTAAGTTGTGACTAAGTTTACTTCTCCTTTATCGGTTCAGTCATGGTCAAAGAATTAACATCCTTTCCTCTCAAATCTGGATTTTGCTCGTAGATAAGGTCTAGGAAGCTATTTTTCAGTTGTCCAAGGGGCATGCCAATGTTTCTTGAGAACCAACATTAAAAACAAAGCAACAGATCATGTTAATGCTTGAAAATAGATTAAATAGAAAAGAAACATGGCCCCGATGAACACCTTTGCAAGCCACATAGGAAAATGGTGTTTTGTTTCTTTTTCCCCTTTCTGATGAGTAAACATTCTCACCAAAGTCTGATGGCCATAAAAGTTCATTTTGGAACCAGCAGAAGCACAGTAAGTTAAAGTTTCTTATAAACCACTTTAAGGAATGCTGTTATGGTCCTACCATACTCATCTACCTATCTTTTCTCATAAAGTTTTTAAAAAAATTTCCTTTGAGAATGCAAAGCTTTTCTCATCAATTAGTTTTTTTTTCAAAGGGATTTCTATACCAAACCAAATGTCATATACAGTAGTCCCCCTTATCTGTGGTTTTGTGTTCCACACTTTCAGTTATCCATGGTCAACCATGGTAGGAAAATACTAAATTTCTCTAACCATTGACATCATTTGCTCCTGACATCCAACCATCGACATC